AATTTTTTTAGGGAAAAATCATTAAAACCACAAATACTGCACATATAAATACATGTACATTAAATTATCTCAAACTCCCACGATGTAGCAAAAAATCCATGATAAATAATTTAGATTAATATTTGTTGAAAACCCACAAAACAGTGAGTCCGTGAAAGTCGAACCACAAAGTGGTTGTACTACTGTATTGTACTTCAGTCTTTTTTTTGTAGTTTAGTCTTCACATTTTAGATTATTGAATATGTCAGTTCTGTTAAAAATGTAATAGCAGCTGTCATAGAGTATTAGAAAAACCCATCCTCCAATGTGTATATTAGAATAGATAATTCTTAACCTTTTTGAAGCCACAGGCCTTTGAACAAAAACAGAAGCACAAATTTTATTATTCTTTCTATCCCAGTCCCTGTTCTAAAACAAAGAAATATGCAATAAAATCACTCACATGCATATGAACTGTGAGACTTTTGTAAATGCCCTGTACTCCATTCTTAACCAACTCAGAGAACACTTGGTTAGATTATTTTTTCTTCTTTGAATTACAGATTCCATGGATAATCTCAATAGTGTCACATTTCCCTAGTGGATTGTCTACTTCTAGTTTACTCAAAGGGGTAAACACAGGTATTCCAGGCACTAGGAATACAGTAAGTGATAGATAAGACAAATTCCGTGTCCTTGAGGTGTTCCATGTGGTTCAGGTCCCTCACTCCCATCCTCCACATTACTGTAGATTCTGTGTTAGGCTGTGCACCTCTACTTGGTTCATTTAAAGACCTGACAGGGCCAGGGAGATGGCTCAGTAGAATAAGCGCTTGCCTGGCAAGCTCAGGGACCTGCGTTCAATCTCACAGTTCTACTTCAGGCTGCTGAGAGCTGACCTTTTCAAAGCACCACTCATTAGCTCACTGCCCTCCTTAAAATTCCTTAAATTTTTTATTGCCTACAAACTTCCTCACGCTTTAGTGTGGCCTGAAGCCCTCTATGATACGGCTCCAAGCTGTTTGTTTCTGCTTTATTCCCAGTTTCCTTTTTTCCTTCCTATGACAAGGCTTAACTAATGAGGCTGCCACTGTTGCACCTCATCCGTCCGCAGTGGTAACTGTTTCCTCAGTTAGCAGGTCCACTCCTGATGTAACTTGCCATCAGCACCATTTGCTTTCTCCCTAATCAGGAATTCCAGGGGCCATGGATATTAATTCAGTGGTATAAGCACCAGCCTGGCAAGCACGAGATCCTGAGTTCGATCTCAGTACCACACACTAAAAATTAAGAATTCCTGATGTAGATCAGCCTCAAGGATTGGTTCACTTAAAGACCTGACAGGGCCAGGAGATGGCTCAATAGAATAAGCGCTTCCCTGGCAAGCGCAAGGGCCTGAGTTCAATCCCTGGTTCCACAAAAAAAAAAAAAAAAAAGATCTGACAAATCTCTTCTTACCTCATTGATCAGTGTAGGTCACATCCTGTTGGTACACTCATGCTAGCAGAAGGAACCTACTCACCATGAAATTCAGCATTTAAAATAAAATTACTTAGGTTCTTAGCTCCCTAGTAAATAGTAAGCACCTGAGGAGGCAGGGACCATCCTTATATCCTGTCAGCTGAAAATCCAGCGCTTCACACTTGGTAAGATCTTAACATATGTAGGACATAAACAGTATGTTGAAGAAATAGTCTCACATGACAGGTACGATGAAGCGTTCCTTGTGTGTTGATACACTATGTTACCTAAGTAGCATTCACTCTCCACAGTTATTTCATAAAGCTCTCAGCTCACGGAAGAGGCCTGTGTAAATTGTAGAAAGCCATGGGAATAGTCACATTTTTTGGTCCCTTAGTTTTCTTTTGCTTTTTGTTTGATTTTGTTTAGTTGTATTTTAAGACAGGCTGGCCTTGAACTCAAGGTGATCCTCCTGCCTCAGCCTCCCACCACACCTGGCTTCTATTGCTTCTTTCTGATAAACATAGAATAAATTTTTTATTTTATTAATTAGTGAAATTCCTTTTTAAAAATTTTTTTTATTAGTACATTTTATATATACATAGTGATCGCATTCATCATAGGGGAATTGTACCTTGCTTCAAACAATAGTTTCAAGCATTTTTTTTTTTTTTTTTCAAAGTTTTATTGATAAACAGATAGCAATGAGACAGTTTCAAATCATATCGGAAGTACAGTTTCAACAAATAATACACTGCATATATTCTTCTTAGTGGTTTCAAGCATTTTCTTTTTAAAGATTTAAAATTTCTGAATTTAGTTCAACTTATAATACCACATTTCCAAGAAAAATGAGCCTTTGCAAAGACATTTAAATAAAATCATACCAAGATACACAAAAATGAAATTGACCAAAACTTCTTATAAAGAAAAAAATCATTAAAGCATATACATAAAAATATTAGCTATGGAAGAACAAAATAAATAGCATCTTATTCCACATTAGAAAGAAAAAAAAAGGACCAAGGGTGTAAGAAACTAGATTAAAGGACTGAAAGAAAAGATCTGTTCTCTTTGAATTTCATACTTAGCAAACATACCTTTGAAAAGTAAAAGTAAGATTTTCTAGTTATACAAACTTGAAATATTTTAATACCTCCAGAAGTAGCATATAGGAAATAACAAAGAGCATAATTCAAAAGGCAAGAGAAGTTGCAGTATGCTCCTGGATGAACAATAAAGAGCTTTCAATATGATAGTTATGCAGCACTATATAAAAGATATTAGATGAACCCTTATTTAAAGGTCATTGTAGATTTCTATGAAACAGTACCAATCTTATGTTGGGTTATACACGTATTTTTTTCCATTTATGTATGTGTATGTGTGTATAAAAGATAAGGAAGAAGTAATATAAAGTCAACAGAAAATGGAAATAAACTTTTTAAAGTTTCCAATACTAGGAGAAGATATCATACAATGTCTTTTAAATAAATTGTAAGTCAAAGATACAGTATAAAGCTTAGAACAAAAATTAAGATTAAGCAATATTCAGAAAATTAAATGCTAATTAAAAATTAAATGTTTCAAAACAATTGAACTAAGAAAAAGTTTTCATGATAGCAAAGAAAAGTACTAAGAGTAAAACATAAATACTGGAATGGCAAGTAAATGACCAGCACTTCTAACAGTTTGAGGATAGGATATAGCACAGAGTTCTAGTGTGTTGTGGACATGCATAATGACTGTGACAGTTACTGGTGGCTAGGCGTCACTTGTGGAACTGAGCTACAGCTATTTATTTGAAATCCACCCTGTATACTCAGGTGGAATCATGACCCATAGGATGGAAGAGAAGTCCATTTGTAGAGTGTGCTGATGGAAATATTTTGTTGCTGGACACAAAAGAATAACTGAAAGACTACTATTGTATACCTCTTATTCTCCTGTGTTTAATTGTTTGCCATATTTGGTGGGTTCTTTCCATTCTCATTCATGAGGCTGTGATCAATTTGCTCCCTCTCTCAAACCTCATTTAGTAGTCTGTGTAGGCTTGACTTTGTCATCATGAAATTCTTTAGTTGTTCTTTGTCATGGAAGTATTTCACTTCTCCATTATACTTGAAAGAGAGTTTTGCAGGATAGATCAGTCTGGGTTGGAATTTGTTTTCTTGCAAGACTTGAAGTACTTTGCTCCATGCTCTTCTTGACTTGATGGTTTGTGAAGAGAAATCTGCTGTTATTCTAATAGGTTTTCCTTTAAGTGTGATCTGTTTCATTTCTATAGATCTGGCTGCTGTGCTCCACTTCTTTCTGCTACAGCCATTAGAGTTGAACCCTTTGTGTCACTCTGGCAAGATGTTCTGCATCTAAATCAGCTGGGTGGGTCTTGCCTCTACCCTCTTTGCAGGGAGTTCTGCTGAAGGGTTCCTCGCTGGGCCTGGGCTCTGGGTCGTCTCACTCACATGCTGGACCTGGGCTCTGGGTTTATTCAGGATCCTGAGGGCCCCGGGCAGTCTCTTTCACTCACCGAGCCTGCGCTCTGGGTCTATTCAGGATCCGCGGGCCCTCCGTTGTCTCACTCACTCCCCCGGTCTTGGCTCTGGGTCCATTCAGGATCTCGCAGCCGCGGTCGTTGCACTCACTCGCTGGGCCTGCGCTCTCAATGAAATTCCTTTTTACCTCTGTATCTTTAATGACTACATCTAGGTAGAGTTAATGTAAACATCTTCCTTGAAGTAAGATCCTAAGTAGAAAAACAAAATAATTAAAGATAAAAACAATTAGATCTTTCTTTTGTGTATTTTGGGTTTTTGTTTGTTTTTAGATCTACTTGAAAAAAAAATTATTTGGTTTCATTAGATTCTTTTCAAAAGTCTCCCTGGGAAGTCAGGGTTTACATTGAAGCATTGAGTCCAATTTGAAAATCTAACAAGAGAGGGAAAGCTATTTACTTAATTCAAAAATGCTTGTACTTTGCCCTTCTGTATCTACAGTAAGACCTTATCTTGACAGTCTGTATTCTGCTGTGATTATCCTTAAATAAAATTTAGTTTATTTTTATTTATTTGTTTTTAGTTTATTTATTTATTTATTTTATTTTTTTTACTTGCGGAACCAGGGATTGAACTCAGGCCCTTGCACTTGTCAGGGAAGCACTTATTCCACTGAGCCATCTCCCCGGCCCCATTTTTAGTTTATTTTTAAAATAATGTTTAAATGGAGTATTTGAGGGCAGTAGTATTAGAAAAATTAATAGGTTAATTGAAAAATACATACTAAGGTAGTAAGAAACTCCATGAATTATGTATTTTATCATTCTTACATGTAGACTAAAACCATGTAATTGGTGCTTGGTTCTTCTTCTTTTCTCATACTCCATAAGTGAGTCCTGTAGTTTTACCCTCAAAATGTGTTTGGCATTTAATTGGTTCTTAGCATCTGCACTGCGCCCCTGCGCTGTTCCTAGCTTGTGACTGTCGCACCAGGATCATGCCTGTCCCCTCCTACCAGGTCCTCTCACCCCATTTTACGTGTCTGTTCTCAGCCACAACCACCGGTGAATTCCACATCACAATTTGAAATGTGAAGCGGGTAGATCTTCCCACTTCTTGGCCCACAGCCCTCCAGTGAGCCCTAGGTTCTTGGAATAAAAGCCACAGTCATTACTGTAATCAGCAAGGTTGTGTGTATTCCATCCGTGCCTACTCCTTAACCTTGTCTTCCACCACTCTTCCACTCTGGACTCCTTGTGCTCATCACCAGGTCTCCCGGATGATGGTCTTTCCCCCAGATAGCTCTATATTATTTATTCCTGTACTTCTTCCAGTTCTTAAATGTTGTCCTTACTGTAAGGCCTTCCCTGCAGCCCTCCAGTGTTCCTTCTCCCCAAGTGTGTCTTCCCCATAACCTTGATTTTTATCTAACTTCATCAGTATTTGTCTGTCTGTCCTCCTTATCATATAACTGGCATGAGTATAGAGATTTTTGTTTTATATATACTATGTGTGTAGTACCTAGAGCATTGCACTCACTACTGCAACATCTACATTGCGGGTACTTATAAGTTTTTATTGAAGGATCCTATGATTAGACTAATTATAGTTGATAAATTTTACTATTACTAAGCTTTTCTGAACTGTTGCATGATTTCTTCTGTACTGTGTAGTGTCAAAGATACTGTCCCACTTTCCTCGACCATGAAGCCCTGTTCTATAGGCCTCTGCAAGTTCCTATTACTTTTTAATTCTATTCGTTTGTTCTCTGAGTAGTCTCATTGCAAGGAACATTATATAATTTTATCTCAACATAGATCTCACCTTCCCAAAATTTAGTCAACTCTCCGATAGAAATGGTTCTCCCATTTTCACAGTGTGGAACGTGGCTCTTTTGTGTGTGTGTGTGTGTGTGTGTGTGTGGCCAGCTCAGCCCACCAGGGGGCGGGGCTGGCTGGCATGTGGTGCTGGGGGATTGAACCGTGGTCCCTGTGCTTTTTTGCTAAGCTTGTTCTAAGTAGGTGCTTTAGACCACTGAGCCATCTCACCAGCCCCCGTGGCTCATTTTTGATTCTCATTATTATTTTCTTTCACTGCTTCTAGAAATAGCAATAAATAAATAATAACTATAATAATTATTTTAGTTTAAATATTTAAATATTGCTATAATAGTTTTCTTATTTACACTGTTTCTTTTGCATGCTGGGGATTGAACCCAGAGCCTCATGTGTGCTAGGCCAACATTCTCTATGTTGCTCCCTGCATTCCTCACTTATTTCTATTTTCTGACTTTGCCTGTTTATTTGCTCAATGTCCATTTTAATAAATTACCTGGCTTCCATTCCCACAGACCTCTGCACCATCTCTTGTGCTAAAAGGGCCTTTCATATCTCTAATTTTTTTTTTTTTTTTTGATTACTTTGAATTCTTCACCCAGGAATATTTCAGCCTCACCCTACTAGCCTCGGTCATTTCAGAAGAGAGGCATGCCCTACTCCTTAACTACCTGAAGCCAAATGACAGCATTCCTCTGTGGTTGCCCTAAATAACTTTTCACATAGGATTATAAACTGGAAGGGGACAGTTAGTCTATAGGGTCACAGTTTCTAGGCCATTGATGTCACTTTATATTAAATGAGTTTTTGTTACAGTTCAAAATTCAGTCCCTTTTGGTAGCATTTAATTTTATTTCTTTAGAAGTTTTGGTACAAAGTAGAACTTCAGTATATTCCGGAAAGCCTTCCGTTTTTTCAGGTAGAATGCCGTGTGGTTATGGGAGTCAGTCAGGTAAACCCCTTAAGAAATTCTTTAAGAAATTAAAGTAAAAAAATTGTCAAAAGTAATCTCTAAAATTCATTTCTTAACTCTGGGAACGTCACCTAACCTTGTCAACTCTAAATAGGATGATGCATAATTAATCAAGATAAATTTGTCTAAGTTTTTGAGCCCTACAAGTGAAGAATCCATGTTATTTATTTAAACTTGTGCTTTTATTTATTTATTTATTTATTTATTTATTCATTCTGTATTCGGAAAGGGTCTACAGGGTGTTCAGGGTCTCACTGCTAGATCAGACACACAGTGACCCTGCTGTTTGCAACCTCCCAAATGCTGGGATTACAGGCGCACGCCACCACACCCAGTCTCAATTGCAGTCTCAGTGTGCCCCGTGGTGGGGCCAGCACTGCAGGCCTAGGGATAGAACTGCAGGCCCCTGTGCCTATGTGCTTTTTTTTTTTAAAAGGTAATTTATAAATATTGAAAACCTTTTCTAAGATGTATGTCATCTCTAAATGTTTGTGTCATCTCTCACCTCTTTATTTTTATTTTCTTTGTGGTTTTAGATTAACAAAAGCAGTGGCATTGTAGAAGCATCACGGATCATGAATTTGTACCAGTTCATTCAGCTTTATAAAGACATCACAAGTCAAGCAGCAGGAGTGTTGGCTCAGAGCTCCACCTCTGAAGAGCCTGGTGAAAACTCGTCCTCTGTGACGTCCTGCCAGGCTAGCCTTTGGATGGGAAGGTATGCATACGTAATTGCCGTGCTTCTCTTACTTTCCAATACACAGACCATTGAGAGGTCATTCATGTTTTTGCGGTGCTCTGCATGACACCCTAAATCTTTTTCTCAGTGATATTATATACCAGATCAAGTTTTGGATTACTCCATTCTTCCACTTATTTTATAGTGTTGAACTGAAACTAAATTAAATGATTCATGCCAGGTAATATTTCTTTCAGCCTAGTCTCCAGAATCTGCTCTCATACTCTTTACACTTGTCGTTAATGGCCAAGACGATATTAACAATTACCTTTTAGTAGGTGTCTGTGTTCTTAGACACTCAAAGCCTGAAGAAATTAGGTCGGAAGATTAATATTTTTAAATATTGGCTCTAGGACTTGGTAGTCCATTCATAAACCATAGTTGGTTCACATATTGAGTATATTCAGTCACTGGAAGAAAGTAAAATCAGCCAGTTTCTGTGATGGTACTTCTTTGCTCATGCGTAATGGACTGTGTTATGGTTCTAGCTAAACTTTCTTTTTTTACTCTGTTATGCTTTTTGGCATGTGAAAACTTACCTGTTACCATTTGACAATCATGACTGTTTAAACTAGTAAATGCTTCTTTGGGAAAAACATGTCCAAACATGTTGACATCCTGTCTATTGTTATTCTAAATAGACAGCAGATATCTACGTTCAAAAATAGATATTGTTATTGTAAAGTTAAAGTGCTTAATAAGAATTTCTCTTTTATTTCATTTACAGTTGCATTTTCTGGTTCATTCTTAACCATCTGGCTTCCTAACACTATTAGTAGTTAAATTGTATTTTTCATTTGTTTCCTGTTTAATTTTAATATATTTTTAAAGATTTGGGCTTTACAGGTGCTACTGATATGCCAAATGAATGTTAGAACATTGTAGGCAGTGTTTAGGCTTATCTTTATAGTTTTACTCTGTAAAGTTGATCTTTCAGACTAGAATCTGATTTTCTATCTTTTTCTTTTTCCTCTTCAGAATGTTGAATTTTTTTTAAGTGTTTTAAAAATGGGATTGTGTTTACCCATATACATAAGCCACATGGTTGCAAATAAAAATACTTTTGTTGCAATCGTCTTAATGAAGGAGGTGAAGGTGTTACCTTTTCGTGTGCCCCTGACTGAAACTCAGCATATGTTTAGTTAAGGCTGCATCTTGACTTCATATGTTTTTAGTTTATAGTGCTACCCTGATACACTAGTTCATAGAAGAAGACTTTACAAGTCAAAGGGACTCTTAAGGGGCCCTTATGTACTAGAGTTTTATATCTGATCTATAATTGATAATGGTTGGCATTTATTGAGTACTTATAGGATATTAGAATTGGGGTGAGTGTTATACGTGTATAAAGTCAATAAATGTTCTTGGTAACTTCATGCAAATTCAATAATTGGCCAATATAAGATAAAGAAACAGGTTTAGACAAATAAATGCCCTGATTAGAAATTGACTTAGTGAAATCCATTTTAGAGTAGAAGCGCTCTATAGTCTTAAGACTTTCTGGCATGTTGTGTTTAGATCTAAAATGGCCCGCAGAAGTCTTGTGTGTTCAGCAGTGGGGCTTTGGGAAGGTTGTTGAATAATGGGATTGCTAAGCCCAAACACTGATGGCTCGTGGCTGAGTATGCTGTTAGAAGTTGGGGTCCAGTTGGAGGTGGGACCCGAGGCCATTCCCTCATGACAAGAAAGGTGTCTCCATCTCCTCCTCCTCTCTCTCTCGGCTTTCTGCCTGCCATGAGGTGAGCAGGTTTTCTCCGCCAGGCCCTTCCGTCACTGCTTCTGCCTTCATGCCAACCAGCCATGGACTAAATCCTCTAAAAAGCATAAGCTAAAATAGACCTCTTCTCTTTAAGTTGTGGGTGTTGGGTATGTCGTCCCAGCACTGGAGAAATGACTAATATGCAGTGATAGAAAAGAGCAAGCCCAAACAAGGCTGAAACCCAGTAAGGCAAACATTAAGTCCTGTGGCTCCATGTCTAGGGTTGAATATGGTGCTGAGATTTGAATTGTCCATGGGCAGTACTGTCCCTGAGGCCTTGGTGGCTGCAGTGCATATTGCGTCTCTCTTATGCTAGCTTCACTCACAGTCTATGGCTTTCTTTGTCACATAGTTGTCATGCCTGCCATTTACAACTTTCTGGGCTATCCACTGCACCTTCAGCTTCATTCTGTTTCAGGTACCCACCTCTCAGGCACATTGCCAGTCCTCCTACACTTTCCTTTGAAATCTGGGTAGAAACCTCAACAACCCCACAAGCGCTTGCCTTCTGCATGCCTGAACAACCCAGCGTCACAAGGACAAGACCTGCTGTAGCTCAAGCCATACTCAGGCCCTCTTGGATCATACCTGTGGTGACCTCTCTGCCTGGGTGCCACAGCTTAGTGAAATGAGTCCTGGGAACCAATTCCCTAGATGGCCCTTCCTGAGCAGTAGGCCCAGGATTGCTATTCTCAAATGAAAAGTTTATACATTTGCACCCTTTGAGCAACAGTTGGTGTGGTCCTGCTGATTTCTAAAATGGCTTCAAGGCATCTTTCTCCTTATCCCTGTTAAAAGTATGTGATAATCTCTTCACAAAGTTATTTGGCTGTAAGTTTACATATGCTTGTTTGGGGGCCAAATTTGAAGGTTTTTTTGCTTCCAGTTTTTGTTATAAATTCGACTAAAAGCAGCCAGCAGTACGTATGCCGCAACCTGAAATTTCCTTTGCCAGGTTAGTCACCGAATAAAGGAAATTTCCTAATGCCAGGTTAGTTAATGACTAAAGGAAATTAGTCATTTCCTTTTCAATTAGTTCATCACCTTTAAACTCAGTCAGTGTCCCTCAGAGTATTAAGACATAGGAAGAATGTTGGCAGTTTTTTTGTCAGCAACATGTATGACCTCTAGTCCAAGTACCGGTAGAATCCTTGTGCCAACTGAAACCTGAGCCTGGTTTTCACTGTCCTCATTTACATTATCATTCTCGACTTCTAAACTCTGACCACAATCACACATTAGGCTCTGCTTACAGCATGCTGGGGCCTCTCTAGCCCACATCTGCAGACCTTTCCAAACTCCCAGTTAGCCTGAAAAACTCCTGCACCGTATGATGAAGTACTGTCATAGCAGCCCGGTTCTGGTACCAGTGTTGTATATTGGTCAGCTTCTCATTGCTGTGAGCAAAGCACCCAATACACACAACCCAAGGAAGGAAGGATTTATTTGATTTGCAGATCCAGAGAGTTCAATCTGTGGTGGCCGGCAAGGCAGGAACGCGCAGTAGAAGTGCATGGTAGAGCAACACTGCTCACTTCATGTTGGCCAGGGAGAGAGCGGTACCCAGCCAGAAATCTCCTAATCCTGTCGGGTTGACAGTTAAGATGAACAGACATGCCTCTGTCCTTCATTGTACACCCTCAGCCAGCTTTCCTGAGGTATTGTTTCCTTTCTCTTCATTAAACGCTGATTCTAGTTTGTTTGTCAGAGCGAGATCACATTTACTTTTGGCATTCAGGGATCAGATGTCTCCACTCTTGGTCTTTTCTTTCAGTCTCCTGCCCCACTCCCCAGCATGTGGTTCTCCTGGCTACACCTACACAGTTACATACACATTCCTTTGCCCTACCTCCACAGCTCTGTCATTTTTCTTTCTCATCTTTCTAACAGGTTTGAAAAATACTCCTTTTTACTTAGTGCTCACTACATGAAATACACATTTGACCTTTATGTTGTTATATGCTCAGGTCAGTACATTTTAAAGTGCTATTACAGTGTCTTACATGCAGAGCTGTAAGTATAATAAAGAATGAAAAGTATCTTTCTTCCTTTTTTTGGAACTGGGGATTGAACTCAGGCCCTTGTGCTTGCCAGGCAAGCATTTATTCTACTGAGCTATCTCCCTGGCCTCAATATCTTTCTCTTGTCAGATATTGCCCTTACCCTTAAGACACTTTCAATCTAGTAGCTGTACTTTGAAATATTTGATTTGTAGATCCAGAGAGTTCTGGATCTGCAAATCAAACATATTTGAAATATGTTTTTGTATAATTACAAAAGTAATAGTGCTTCCAAAGGAAAACCTTTAAAAATAGTGGAAAAGCACAAAAGATAAAAAAAATTAAAAATTATTTCAAGAAATGTTTATTGAGACTAGGACAAAGATTTTATTTTCAAAGAACTGCAGTTTTTACATCATTTGATTGAGGTAAATGTTGATTTTGGAGGCAGAAAGAAAATAGATGTTTTAAGCTGAGGTAGAGATTAATGTTTACTAAATAAAGAAGATAATCAATCCTAGGACACGAACCATGCGCAGGGGCACCTGGCTCACTGGGGGACTCTGAGTGGTAGCTGGAGAAGGTTCGATATTGCTTTTTTTCTCAAAAAGATGAAAGCGCTGCTTGGGAACAGACTTAGCTTCCTAACCCTTCTGTGTTTCCCACACGGCCTGATACTTAAAGCTGTCCTGTTCTTTGGAACCCACTGTCAGTTTCAGCATTGTAAGGCCCTGATGCAAGGTCTGTACTTTAGACCATATTCACACTGTATCCCGAACTGTGATAAATTATATTATGGTTGAGTCATTTATATAAATTTAGTATGTTTAAGTTTGGCCGAGTAATTTCCAGAAAAAGCCAAACATTTTCAGCTTTTGCCCATATTTTAACAATCACAGGACTTATCTTTTACCCAGTCTTCATGAAATTTATGCTCATTAGTACCTCTTCCCTAATACAGTTCCTCTCCCTAAAAGATGTTAATTTTAGTTTGATGTTAACTTTGTGCACCCGTCGTATTATGCTTTATATTATGGATGTTTAGTAATGTATTTTAAGACAATGAGGTAGAAAGCCTAAGCACAGAGACCGCCATTGTTCCAGCTCTGTGCTCACACTGCAGGGTGAAGCAGCTGACCGAGGAGGAGGAGTGCTGCATCTGCATGGACGGGCGGGCTGACCTCATCCTGCCTTGTGCTCACAGCTTCTGCCAGAAGTGTATTGATAAGTGGTAAGTTACGTGCTGCCCTCAGGAGAAGCCGAAGCTGAGTGGGACGGTGTGTGTGAAAAATTTTGAGAAGTACAGAATGTTAGGGTTAGGTTCAAAAGACGTGTTTGCTTTGGTACTCTGATTCTTATGACATGCGTCCTACTGATTAAATCTTTTTTATTTTTATGCCTAAAATTTAAAAGATATGGAGAGTATAACTTGGTTTTGATACTTTCCTTGTAAGATTTATGCCTGATTTGAATCTAGAATGAGATACTTTTTTCTTTTTTCTCATTTTCATATTTATTCTCTGTGTTTATAAAGAATAAATCTTTGAATATTGGATCTAGGGGACATTTTAGATGGCTGATTAAGCTCAATGTTTTACAAAATAAAAATTGACAGGAATGCATAGTTAGGATAAACTATGTCTGAGGTACAATTTCATTTATTTATGTATTCTTCATTTATTTATTTGCGGTACTGGGGATTGAACTCTTGCCTTCTCAGCAGGGTGCATCCTTAGCCCTTTTGATTTTTGAGACAGGGTCATCACAGCAGGCCTGTAGGACAGTCAGCTGTTAGCCCGTTGGTGCACACCCATACAGGCCATCATACTCAAGATAATGAACAGAGCCACTGCCCCAGATTACCTTGTGCCCCATTATAAAGCCTCCTCCCCACTCTTTCACGTCCCCACCTAGTTCTCTGGCAGGTGATCTTTCAGTTCTTAAAAATACTTTTTAGTTTCTAGAATTTTCATAATTGGAATCATAAAGGGGAGGGAAGTGTCTGGCTTTCTTCATTCCTTGTAATTGAGATTTAGCCAATTGTAGTTAGGGATAAGTTTCAAAAGTTCCTATAAAGGTTGCTGGACAGGTATATTTATGGACATATATTTTTATTTTGAGGATAGTAAATACCTAGAAATCAAATGGCTAAGTCATATAAGAGGTGTGTGTATTAATATTTTAAGAAGTTGCCATTTTCCAAAATAGTCCTGCCTTTTTAAACTACCATCAGCACTGCATGAGACTTCCAGTTGTTCACATCTTTGTCAGTATTTGATGCGGTCAGTCTAATTTTAGCCATTCTAATTGCTATGTAGTACTATCTCATCGTGGGCCTCTCTACTGACAGAAAAAGTTCAGCAGCTTTCTGTGTGCTAATTCACTGTCTGAGCATCTTCTTTCAAGTGTCCATTCAAGTCTTTGCTCCATTATTGGGAATTTTAATCATTCTTTGTATATATTCTTGATACTTGTGCTGTATTGGCTTCAATATCTGATTTGCAAGTATTTTCTCCCACTCTGGCTTGGCTTTTCTTCTCTTGAGGATATCTTCCAAAGAGCAGAAATCTTTAATTCTGATGAGATCCAATTTATGAATTCATGATTCACAGATAATTATTTTAGTGTAATATCTATCAATTCTGATTCAAGGATACAAAAGATACCATTGTCCCCTAAAAGGTTTCTAATTTTTTGGTTCTACATTTAGGTCTGTGGTCCCTTTGAGTTGGTTTCTGTTTTCTTCACTGACTTGTCTGCCCCTCTGCTGGAAATCAGCTGTCCAAGTGTGGGTCTGTTTTTAGAGTTGTCTGCTTCCTTGCCAGTGTCATGCTACCATGATGAGGATTGTGCTTAGTCACTTTTCTCCTTGCTTAGACAAAATACCCGCTGTCCTAAGGTAAAGAAGAAAAGGCTTATGGTAGCTCAAAGTTTGTAGAGGTTTCAGTCCATGGTCAGTGTTATGGTTTGTGTGTGTTCCCTCCCCCCACAAAGCCTCATGCAGTTATTGAGGTGCAGTTCTAGAGTTGGTGATTAATTTATGATCCAAAGCTAAAATTATGGGTTTGAGTACTGCTGGGATTATGGGTCTGAGTGCTGCTGGGATTGTGGGTGTGAGTGCTACACGCAGCATGGGACAGATAGCCTGAATGTAACATAAAAGAGGCAGACTTCCTCTCTATGGCCGTTGTTTTGCTATTACTCCTCCATTTTGCTTTCTGCTCTTTGCTGCCACCATGAAAGGTTGCTTTCTGCCATGTGCCACTCTGCCTTGGAGCCAGCCAGGTATGCTAAATAAACCTTTCTTCCTTCATTTTGGATGTCAGGTATTTTGTCCCAGCAGTGAGTGAAGAGTAATGAGACAGTCAGTGTGCTCCAAGCAGGGTGACCTGGTAGGGAGCATCACAGAGGAAAAATGGTCCATGGCAAAGCAGGGACGCAGAAAGCAGCAAGCGACTGCAGCAGCGCTCTCTTGTCTCTTATATTTCATTCATGCCACCTACCCTTAGGAAATCATACAGAATTAAAGGAGAAATGATTCATTTTAGCTCACAGCTTGTGGAAGTTTCAGTCCCAAGTCGGGGCAGCATGGCAAGGGAGCATCACAGAGGAGACACAGTTCATGGTGTAGCAGGCCACGAGCCTCAGGCTTGATGCCACCTATACCCAGGATGGGACTTCCTGTCATCCATGCCCCAACCAGACCAAGCCATCACTGGGCTAATTTAGTTATCACACACCTAGATCCAGCTGCCTCTGAAAAGCCCCAGCTAAAAGCACGTCAAGGTGCAAACCACACCGACTTCTTAGCAATATTGTGTGTTCTTGTAGTATATTTCTCCATTTTGTAGGTCCTTAATATCGCTAAGCAGTTTTTGTAGCTTTCAGTGTTGCACATCTGTGATGAGTTTGCCTCCACATGTTTCATGGTTTCACGGTTCTCAAATGGTTTTGCTTCAGGCTTTCTGGTGTTACCAGGTAACGTGTTTTGTGTATCAGTCTTGCATCCTACCCTCTTACTCAGCTCATCTGTTAGTTCTGTAGCTTTTTAGAGATTTGTTAGAGTCTTCCAGACTGAACTGCTTTTTAAAGATTTTTTTTTTGCTACTGCAAATTGCTAGACTGACAGTATTTTCTCTTCTAGTGCTTTAATAATGTTGTGCCACTTCTTCCTTACATTGTTTTCCTTTATCTGTCCCCCTAATATTTCTCTGGAGGTAATAAGTCTTTTTTTTCCTCTGGCCACTTTTAGAATTTTATCTTTTCATTTGTTTTAGCAGTTCAGTGTACCTTTAAAGTTGTTTCTTTCTTTCTTTTTTTTTTTTTTTTTTTGGCAGAACTGGGGATTGAACTCAGACCCTTGCACTTGCCAGGGAAGCACTTATTCCACTGAGCCATCTCCCTGGCCCCTAAAATTGTTTCTTTTGTTTTATTTTCTCATGTTTTTTGTGCTTTGAGTAGATTGAGCTCCTTAGATTTGTAGATTTATAGCATCAGTATTGGAAATTTTTCAGCTTTCATTTTCTTGAAATTGTGTACCGTTTTCTCTCCCTTCTCCTTCTGGATTCCTGTCACTGTACATTAGACCTCTTGAGCTTACGTTTCATAATGAGCAGCTATGTCTTTCCAAATTCACTAAACTTGTTCTTCGTAGTATCTAATTTACCATTAATCCCATTCAGTATAATTTTACTTACCTTAGGTCTTTTTGTTTTCCTTTCTACAAGTTTGAATGTTTAATATTTTCTCTGTCCTAAGTGATATAATTGATCTTTCCTCTACTATTTTGAATGTATGGAGTATTACAATTGGAATGATTTTATCTACTATAGCTGATAATTCTAGTATGTGTCTCAGTTCTGGGTTGTTCTGATTGATTGATCTCTTCATTGTAGATTATATTTTTCTGTTATTTCTTTATATCCCTTGTAGTTTTTGATTGGATGCCAGCCAGATACTGTGAATTTTATCTGTTTTAGGTACTAGATATTTTTGCATTACTAA